AATATGTTTTTTAAAAACTTAATTTTCAATAACAATAAGAATAATAATGATAAGAAGAAGGATATAGTTCAAACCTTACCATTATAATTTAAATTTTGTAAATATTACCTTCTACATTACTTATTATACACATTCAAATATTAAATTGAAGAAAAATGACCAAATCACTCAAGTGACTCGATGGTCCAATAAGACCATGGTTATTGTAACTATGAGTGTTCATGTTCAAAGCTTTACATCCTCAAAGTATTTTGAGATTTATTTCAAGGCAAGTTTGGTTCCAATGCCATCCAAGGCTGGTTCTCTGGATTACATTTGAGTAGGGTAACCTCCTGGACCTTGAAACTGGCCTGAGTAGGGGTTGGTTCCAAGAATTTGCAACCAAATCCCATTGGTAACAGATTGGGTAGAGATGATTCAAAGTCGGTTCGAAGTCGATTCCATTTGGTTCTGGGTAGAATCTACTGATTTGTTCACCCCTAGTTCTAGCCCCTTTGTGACAGGTCACATCTTCTTATGGGTTGTCAAAGGTCTTCTATGAATGTGACAAAACCATCATAGTTAGTTTTCTCTCATTTTATCACTCATTGAAGCTACTCCTAGGTCCTTTTGAATGACTTCATTTTTAATCATATCCTTTCTAGCTTTTATATTCATCCATCTTAGAATATGTATTTTTGCTACATTCTTTTTTGGACATGTTTCTTGACTACCTAATACGTTGCACTATACAGCCTAGTTGGCCTTACAACTGTTATATGGAAATTTCCTTTTAGTCTAAGTTGTATTTGCCTACACATAAGAATATTCTGAATACACATCTCCTATTTGCCCATCCAACTCTAATTCTATAGACTCCTCAATCTTTCCTTTATTGTGCACTATCAAACCAAGTTACTAGAGAATGTCACATTGAGTTATGTTTTGGTCTTCGATCCTAGGTGCACCCCGATTTGTGTTCCTATTATTATTAAATTTACACATCGTATATCCTTGTTTTAATCCTACTAATTTTAAAATCTCTTGTTTCTAAGGTATTTGTCCATAAGCCTAATTTTGCATTTAAGTAAACACTTAACAAGATAATAAGAAGAAATAGATAAAGAGTCTAAAACAAGATCAAATTAAATGGATACCAAACAAGACAAGAACCATAGCAAAATTAAAAAAAAAGACTAGAACATAAAAAGGGACTTAACAAACAAACCTAAACTTAACCAACATATCTGAAATCATTATTGTTGTCATCTTTGTCGTCTTTATCAAAGTCTACCTACTTTGACACCATGTTGTCATGAGTGGTGTGAAAAAGAGAGTAAGATGAGTTTGGGAGTGATTATTTAAAAAATAAGTGCTTATTCTAATAAACGCTCACGAGTGCTTGGTGAAAAAACACTTATTTCAAACAGGGGTAGTATAAGTATTTCCAAAATGATATGGTGGACCAAGACAAGCAAAAAAAAACAAAAAAGCACTTAAAGAGCTCAAATAAGTGCTTATTTGTGTGATTACGGCCCAAAGTATGTGCTTATTTGAATAAGAGCTTAACTCGCAACTTAGCCTAAAACAAAGAGAAAGATGTGTGCTAAAAGAGTAGACTTAAGGCAATAAACCATACCAAACCTGTCTCTCTCAAATGAGAAAGATGTTTTATATTAACACTAGAAATACCCAAATTACATTAAAGTCCTTGATTATAATTTGTTTTTTCTTTTCAAATTACCCCATTTCTTCATACATAATACAATTTGAACACCTACAAATTTTATTTGAAAATGTTTGCTTAACTTATCAATCAAATTATATTAGATTCTTGATTATCATTTATGGTGTCAAGGTGTGCAGGTTGCCAGGCTTGTTTTCATGAGCATTGTGTGGACTACAATGGTCATGACTCATGAGCCTGTCTAGAAACTGATCCTTCATGTACATACATAAAAGATAAACTTCCAGTTAAAAACTAATAGAGAAGAATTTGCCATTTATTGAACAGTTTCCATTAACTAACTTATTAAAGATAAATTGATGTATTCCATAAACACATTACACATACAGATCTACATTTGCATGTACTTTCAAAGTAGCAATTTGGCTAGATGAGGCATTGCTTAGGTGGTACCTCAGTGAGGCCTAGGCTTAAAATGAAGCATATGGTAATTAAGAGGTATCATGCATTATACTACATTTATAAATGTATTTTAGATTTTTAGTGTGCCAAGAACTAGATCAATTAGCAAATAAAAGCCAAATGGTAGTTTACCAGCAAATAAAACTTAACATCAGAGAACCTTGCATTCCGATGCTAAATGATATAAGCTTTGAAATTTTCACAATGTTTTGATTCTAATCATAGGCCTAATCTGAAATGTCATATATGAAAAGTTCATTGGCAAAATTGTCAAACAGAAAACCGATCCTTCACACTAATAGTTATTTTACCTCACGAACTCACCCCCAAGGAACCAAAAGAAGAAGAAGAAGAAAAAGAAAACCTTGGACAAGGGCATCCAGTAATTGGTATTTTTCTAATCTGCTCTCATCTGCTTACCTTGGTTAGGTAGCTAGTTTCATGTAGAGAACTTTAAGTAGCCCATAAATATTCATGGCAATGCTGTTTGGAACTGAGCTCAATATATTCTCTCTTCACCCTCTATTCATGTGAGAAATTTCAGCTTTTAGCTCTTTTTGAAGAGGAGTTTCTATCTTTCAAACTCCTTAAATCCAACCTCTATTTTCTTTCCTTTTACATATAGTTTGTTCAGTTATGTAAATTGATGTAGGCACATGTGGCAGGGCCAGGATGGCACCACGTAGTAGGGCTAGGATGCAATCCTGGCCATCCGCTGCTAACAACCTCCAACCAATCTCAGACGAGTTCAAGTATAAATAAGTGTGTCACTCTCTTGGTAAGATATCTTGTCTCATTCCTACTCTCAAGCTCTCTAGCTTTCAGGTGGTTCCGTCTGAGCTCTCTCCTTAGGCCTCGTCTGACCCCCTATTACGCACTTGACTAACTTGACTGTCGGAGACTCCACCCCTGGATAACACCCGAGGCCTCTGATGTGGTCTCTTATTCTCAGGTTGGGCACATCAGCCATCAGACACGACAAACCCTTGGCTAAGGAAGTGTATTTACCTTGTTGCCCTCGGCCCATCCTTCGCAGCAACATAAATGACCTTCTTTAACAATCCCCTGACTGCAGATCCTATGGAAACTTGTCCAATGTTCTTATCATTATTCTTCATTACAAACCCCAAAATGGTGAGATCCACAAGATTTTTGGAGTTCTCACCTATTAAGAAGTGGAACAATGAGACCTTCAAAAGAAGAAAGAAATGAAAAAATAGCAAAGGCCAGTTGGCCTTTTGAAGCTATGTTTAATAAATAAAAAGAAAAGCAAAATCCAGGATGAGTCTTAGTTTTCACTAAAACTCAAGCTGTCAAGCAAACCATCACAATCCTAAATGGTTTCCAAACCAAAAGTGACAGAGTGGAGAGTGAAAAAAAAATGAATTGAATCAAATAAAAGCAAGATGGTAAAATACACAAAAATCCCTTTGATGTTTTTCTACATTTTTCTCTAGATATTGATGAATTGTTAAGGTATTATTATCTTCTCTTTGTCACTCATACCATAACTAGACTACTTCAGTCTTCATATGGTCATATATCTTCAGTTGAAAGAAACAAGCAAGACCAAGGTACCAATTTACTAAAATAAACTGAAATGTGTATGAGCTACCTACAGGTGGCTTGGAAGTCTTTTTTTGACTGAGAATAGAAGTTTGAGAGCGAGGTGGATGAGATAAGAGAAGGCAAGATATTCCTTTTTTAATTTTCTCTTCTTCATCTTCCTTCTCCTTTGCCTCTTTATTCAATCTCAAATGTGGAGAACTGAGAAAACATCCATGAATCTTTTCTTTGCTCTTTCCTCAAGCCTCTGAAATGGATCATAATAGGTAGAGAGCAGACTTGAGTGGATTAATGAATTAGGAGTTGGTGATATGATGTTTGGTGGTGGTTTCCTATGATTTTGCTAACTTCCCAATTTTCATTGACCATATGAATTTTTCTATTCTCTAATGGAAGTTGTAAGGTCGGAGAAGATGGTGACTGGGGGGGGGGGATTAGGCATGCTTTTATTGGATATATTTAACTATTAGTCTCAATCATCATGCGCCACAATCTGATTTAATCCAATTAACTAGAGTTTTAAGGACTACCCGTTTCCTCTATTTTATCCTTTATAAGGCCATATTTTCCATTATAGAGATTCCCCTCCTTGTTGACTAGAGTATTGGAATGAGTTAAGAAATCTCTTCTGACTTTCTATAACTAGTGAAGGTTCTTAAATTAGTTTAATTGACCTAATTTGGTGACATCCAGGATCGATCATTTTGCAAGATATTAGTCTGGCAATGGATCGTTATTGGAAATATTGGTCCAAACCATCCAAATTAGTGAATGCTTTGAATATGTAATGCAGATAGACCCATGCAATACATTTTATATATTGAATAATTTATATCATGATAAATTGAATTATAATAAGACTAAATGGAAAATAACCTGTTGGACATGAACAATCAAATCAACAGTATATAAGCTAAAATGGAAACATGACTTTGTGCTAACAAACATCGCAATGACATTAATATTCTTTTTAAATGTAAGCATTTGTTGGTACTGATATACTATTATAATCTTATTTGGTTGTTTTGTTAAACTAGTCCAGTAAATCTATTAACCAATCTACCTAGTTTAATTACTTGCATTAAATCAACAAAAGTCAATATTTAAATATCTTTACATTGTTATATGATGTCAAACAAGCAATCCTTTAGCCACAAAGACTTCATATCTAAAAGTAGCTTTGGAGCCATGTTATGTTTGGAATCACTGTGATTGTATTTTATGTTACATTGTTAGTTTAATTGTTAAATGTCCTGCATTTAATTAATTAAATAATTAATTTTTCATTTGCTTCTGAATGCTTCAGCATGAATAAGACCATAGAACGCTATCAACGATATGCAAAAGATGCTCAGAGCAACAAAACAATAGAACAGAATATGCAGGTCAGGCCTTATTTCCTTTTGGTCATTAAGAAGAAAAAAAAACCGATAGAATTATTCCTTTCTACACAAATAGGATTACTACATCTTACTGTCAATTTTAAGCTATTGGGGCATCAATTTTCTATAACAAATTGATCAAGGAACACCAGGAATTTTTACCTTCATAATGGTTCCAATAACTGTTTTGTGTGGTCTACTGATATGAACTTAAGCATGATAAATTCTTTACTCCTTTTGTCCTTATTCTGAGTTATGGGAAATATAGATGAAGCACAATAAAATTCAAGATAACTTTCAAATCATCAAATGGGCCATTCCACCTGCACTGAAATAATCCCATCTAGTTTCTATTTGCATTTGAATACATATATAAATTCAATATTTTAAAAAGGGTTTGTTATTTTAGTGTAATAAAAGGAAGAAATAAGCTTGCTTTTGGGAATGCTAATAACTGCATTTATGTTTCCACTATTATTCCTATAATGGATCTATTTCACATGATGAGCTAGAAATTTAAAATGATAATTAGTTGAAACAATTCCAGTACATGTGATTTCCAGATACCCTTATTGCTCCCAACTTCAAGGGCCATTTAGGTGATCTCAAGAGAATCCTCCGGATAGTGACTTTATGCTAGATGTGACAAGACCACCACCAGCAATTAGTCTTATACCTTGATCGATTATCACTCTCTGAAATCAATTTCTGTCAATCTAGCCGTTGAGTTTTGGGGGGTTTATTAATACAAACTTGTGAGAAATATGTGTTGTCATATCACACGCGAGTGCCATTTCAGCTAGAAAAATGAATGTGTGAGAAACATCAAATTTGATGTTTTAGGTAGAAATAACAATTTGTATTGATCAATTCAAAACATTTCAAGTAGAAAAAGTCTATCTCACAAATTTACATTGACCAACCCAAAACACAACAGCAACACACCACTGTACCAAATACCTCCCTACTTCAGCACCACTTATTTCTACTACCACCACCACCACTTTATTTCTTGGATATGATCAATCTATATCTTTGCATGCCATGGTAGATTAGCACCAGTTTACTCTTTCAGAAGGATGGCCCATGGTTTCTTACATTGTAGGGGTTTTCATTTGTGTTTTAAATACTAACTAACTCAAGCTACCATTCTGCACTGGATCTGTCAAGTTATGCAAATCACCACGAAGGGGCTGAATGTATATTTTGTAAAGACTAATACCAAGACCAATCAATTTCTTCAATGAACCCTAAAATTGGGTCCAAAGATTTTCACATTGGACCTACTAGTGCTGCCCATGTTGGGGTCTAGCTAGAAGCCCTTTAGACAGCCTGCCCAGCCCAGCCTGATGCATTATCACTCCTAGTTATTGAAATATAATGCTTTTGTAAAATGAAGGCGTATTACTAACTTTAACTTCATTTGGCTCTTAACTGTTTCATTTATATCTTAAATTTTACATCAAGTTATAATTTTACATCCAACTGGCTCTCCTACACTTATACCTTGTACTAAGGTCTTAACCAATGAAAATTCACGCGGGTTGGGGCAGGGGACGGGGAGGGGAGGTGATTGGTCAAACCCTCAAAGGTGAGAGTGGATGGGTATGATACCAGAATAACTTAGACCATTCAGAACCCCATCCCCAGCCTAGTGAATTTTGATGATTTTTTTTTGGTTATTATACGCTCAAGTGTAGCAGATCCAGACTGCAACAAACCCCTATCTAGCACCAATTCCTTGTTTATCTCACAAGAATTGAGTTACAAATGCAGCATTTGAAGCATGAAGCTGCAAATATGGCAAAGAAGATTGAGCTTCTTGAAGCTTCCAAACGGTTCGATGACTACTTTGGAACTTTTGAACTTTCTCAGTATATACAGCAGCAATTTCTATTTGTGTATCATATAATTTCTTTGTGGTTCAAAACTTTATAATTTGATTTCTCAGGAAGCTATTGGGAGAAAATTTAGGATCAAGTTCTCCAGAAGAACTGCAGCAGATAGAGAACCAGTTGGAGAGAAGCCTAGTCAGCATCAGGGCAAGAAAGGTATACTATGTCAAACCACTTACACTAGATTTCTCTCTCTGGTTTATTTAAGTAACCATGAGCTGAGCTGATAATTTAACACAGCTAATCTTGCTTGTTCTACAGACTCAATTATTTAGGGAGCAGATTGCAAACTTAAAAGAAAAGGTAATTTATAATTTTGTATAAACTGAAAATTCTTAACATAAAATGCTCACATTACTTCTATTGACTGATTATGACTTGTAAAGATCTTCATTAGAGACATTATGTTCAGAATCACCAAGTTATATACTAATTACTATTATTTTTTCATCAAATTCAGGAAAAAATCCTGACAGAGGAAAATGCAATATTGCGCGAAAAGGTTATTTCTTTTTACTCATTTTTATGAATTTCTTTGGCCTTCTTGAATCAAAGATTTTCAGGTGGCATAAACAACACTCATACTTACCCTACCCATTCATCATCTTCATCCCCAGTTCAAAACTTAAAATTGCAGTTTTGTCAAGGACATAAAAAAAAAAAAAAAAAAATTGATCTTTATCTTGGTGTAATATCATGGACTAATAATAAGTCCAGTAGTGGGATGATGTAATTAACCTCCCAAATCAATAGTTCAAAATGGTATTCAAGGCTTGGAGGTCTTCCAAGTAGGGACTATTGGTTTGGATGATGAGGGGGGTAAAGAAACTAAAGATACATGGAACTTAGTTTCTATCAATCTGTTGAAGAATGGTTGTTGAGTTTACTGATTTTGCATCTTTTGATTCTAGTGTGCACCGCAACATATGGAACACCCAACCCAGAATAGAGAAATTGATTTATATGGTCAAAGCAGTCAGAATTCAGATGTGGAGACGGAATTGTTCATTGGGAGGCCTGAAAGAGCTATTACGCTCTACCCTTTACAGGGTCGATTGGTTGGAGATGGCTCAGTATGAAACCTTCCAAATCTTCACGGGAGGAAAGACAATTCAATGGTGATCCATTTCTGTCTATTTCAATTACGTATGCAGTAATTGCACCAAATTATTTTTCTGCAATCAACCATACAAAATAAATCCATTAAGCATTTATTTAGTGCATCTGTTCGTAGGTTGTTAGCTAAAGCATCTACTCTAGAGTCTGGACTCTAGAGTCAATCTAGCTTATGGAGGATATGTTTTATGTAATATTGTATAATTCTAGCTACTGTATCGTGTACATTTTCTCGTAGAACCAAAAGGCCCAGTTATTTTGTTTTCAATGGAAGCTAAGTTTGACTTTGACACTTTTGACTAGGAATGGCCATTGGGTTGGATTGGGCTTTGTACAAAGCTCCAAGCAATCAACCCAGTTCTTTTGTTCATAATGGAAGCTAGGTTTTGAGTTTGACTTTGATAACATTGACTAGGGGTGGCGATTGGGCTGGACTGGGCCTTGTATAGTGATTGAGTTAGCATGCACTTTGTAGAAAGCTCCAAAAAAAGAATTTTAATTACTTATCGTGTTGTACAACTTTGCCTCTGGTAGCATTCTCATCCCTTTAGAGCCGTGTTGACTGTTGAGTGCAACTACACTTTTTTTCTCTGGATCAGCAATTCAAATAATGATAAAAATATTGGTATCGAGTATCGTATTGGACCACTTGGATATGAATATGTTTTGGAAACGGATGGATATGGACGAAAAATATAGATATGTCAAAAAATGCATATAAATTCATAAATATATTAATAACATTATATTTAAGATTAAAATAGCTATAATTAATGGAAGCGCAGCTAAAGTCAAGATCGGTGTCCGAAGGGAAAATGATGCCTTCGTCCATGGATTCAGATAGAGATTAGTTGAGGATCTTGTAAAGGCCACTACTGGTTATATAGGATCGAGAGGTCGAGATTGAGACTTGAGACAGAAATGGACAAAGAGTATTAGTTTACCGTTTAGTTGACCCATCTCATCTCTTCGCCATTAAAACATGGGAAAAGCACAAACAAACCCATTTCAGATTTTTGAAATCCAAGCCAGTCCATACAAAACCCAAAGTGAGAGCTCACATCCTTTGTGTAAACACTGATTTACTAATTGATAGGAATCACACACCCAATAAGCGGAAGTTGTATTTCTTATATAGAGTTACAAGAGTTTGAGTTTGAGTTGAATTGAACATTTATACCAGATAAGAAAACAACTATACAATCATCAGTAATTAAGGAATCTTAGGATAAGAGATTGATGATCCAAGAGTTATCCGAGGACTCTTAGGATTTATCCTCCACATCCCCTGCAAGATCAACGGGGTAAGGTTGTGCTTGGAGCATAACTGAGAGAAGTGGGAAGATGACAGGCCTTTGGTGAAGATATCTGCCACTTGGTCATGAGAGCTGATATACCGAACATCCAATTGTCGGTTTAGGACCATATCTCAAAGGAAGTAGAAATCCACTTCAATGTGTTTTGTGCGGGCCTTAAACATGGGATTTGCAACAAGGTACATGGTGCTAACATTACCACACCAGACAGTGGGTGGTGATGAGAGTGAGACATGAAGTTCCTTTAGTAAAGAGGTAAGCAATACCAGTTTAGTGGCAACATTGGCAAGTGCCCATAGTTCAGATTTTGTGCTAGAGCGGGCCACTGTCAACTTCTTCTTGGCACTCCAAGATAATAAATTACCACCAAGAAAAACATAGAAACCACTTATAGATCTTTTGTCATCTGGGCATCCAGCTCAATCGGCATCGGTGAAAGCAGTGAGGGAGGAGAGAGATGAGTGGTTGATGACAAGGCTCACTGAGATGGTGTGCTTCAAGTATCATAGGATGCATTTGACAGTCTACCAATGCACTATGGTGGGTCGATGAAGGAATTTGCACACCTTGTTCATTGCAAAGGAGAGATTCGATCGCGTTAATGTCGCATATGCAGCGGTCCAACAATGTTTCGATATAAGGTGGGGTCATCAAGAGGTACACCATCAGATGACGACAAAGAGGAATTTTGTGGGACTGGTGTGGAGATAGGTTTGGAGATGAGCATTTAAGCTTTGTCAAGTAAATTGAGGATATAGCGGCACTGAGATAGAAAGAGACGATCACCGTTGTTATGAACCTCCAATCCAAGAAAATAATGAAGAGGACCTAAGTCTTTGATGGCAAATGTTGGGTGAAGTTGGACCAGTAAGTGATCAATGGCTAGTTGAGAGTTGGATGTAAGGAGTATATCATCCACGTAAACCAAGGCAATAATTGTGACTGAACCCTTATGCAATATGAAGAGAGAGCTGTCACATGTAGAAGCAGTGAACCCCTCTTGAATCTAGGAGTATAGACGAAAAAAACTAGGCCCAAGGAGACTGCTTCAATCCATAGATAGCCTTGTGAAGCTGGAAAACATGGTGTGGATGATCTGGGTCTACAAATCCCAATGATTGAAACATGTATACCTCTTGCGAAGTTCGCCATGAAGAAAGGCATTATGAACATCAAGTTGACAAATGGGCCAGCCACAAGAATGAGCAATGGTGAGAACCGTTATGATGGTGGTGGGCTTCAAAACAGGGATAAAAGTATTGGTGAAGTCAATACCGGGTTGTTGAGTAAACCCCTTGGCTACCAAACGAGCCTTGTATCGATCAAGGGAGCCATCACCTTTCTTTTTAACTTTATAGACCTAGCTACACCCAACAATATTACCATGAGAGGGTGGAGGCACCAAGGTCTAGGTACCATTGTGCAATAAGGCATTGAATTCTTTGGACAAGGCATCAAGCCATTCAGCAAACTTATTAGCTTGAAAGAAGCAACTTGGTTCAGAGAGGGCATCATTATGTTCAACAAGTAATGTGCTAGGTAGGGGATGACGAGTGGTGAGAGCATGTTGGTTGGATCGAACAGCCATATGAGAATAAGGTGGAGGTAGAACAGGTGTAGTGCAATCTAATAATTCCTAGATGGAGTGCATGCCATGTGGCGGTGGTGGTGAACACTTGTCATCAGATGACAGTGAAGAGCCAATAGCCGAAGTAGGATTTGTAGGAGGTGGAGAGGCGAGAGAGGCATCAGTCGTGGTATCCTGTGACATAGTATTAGTAGTAGACTCTTGCAAACACTCATTAGTAACATTAGTATCTAAAGCAAAATCAGATGTAAAAGGGGGTGGAGGTTTGAGTGGAATGGCAACATAAGTATCAGTGGATCATGCAAGAGGTGAAGATGAAGAAGGGAGAGCATAAAGAAATGTTGTTTCATCAAAAGTGACATGGCGAGAAATAAACAAGCGGTTAGAGGATGTATGATAGCATTTATACCCTCTATCATGCGGGTTATAGCCAAGGAAGACACAGGGTTGTGAACGATAATCCAATCTATGCTTATTGTAGGGACGGAGAAGAGGATAGGTGGCCGATGAGCTTTTCAAAGGGAGAAATATGTTGGGCGACTGGTGAGGGAAGGCGATTGATGAGAAAGGTGGCCATTTGTATGGCATCATCCCAAAAATGAAGGGGAAGAGATGCATGGCCTAGTAGTGCAATAGTTGTCTCGATAAGGTGCATGTGCTTCCATTCAAAATGCCCATTTTGTTGGTGGGTGTGAGGACATGAGAGACGTTGTTGGATGCCAAATTCACACAAATGTTTAGTGAGCATGCGATATTCCCCTCCCCAATCACTTTGGAAGGCCTTAATAGTAGAAGAGAACTGATTCTCAACAAGCTTCTTGAACTGCAAAAAGGCAAATGAATACAACGTAATAGCAAAATCCATTGCAAAAAACCATAGGGGTGGGACCCCAAACATTAGAAAAAATAAGATTGAGCGGTGCATTGGAGCATTGTTGAGAATGAGAAAAAGGTAATTGCTTATTTTTTTCCAATTGACAACTCACAAATTGTAAAATATTCATTAGTAGAAGACAAACCATAATGACTAAGGACTCTTTTGACAATAGACAAAGACGGATGCCAAAAATGAGACTCTTTTGACAATAGACAAAGACGGATGCCAAAAATGAGACTCTTTTGACAATAGACAAAGACGGATGCCAAAAATGAGACTCTTTTGACAATAGACAAAGACGGATGCCAAAAATGAGACTCTTTTGACAATAGACAAAGACAGATGCCCAAAATGAGCATGCCACCGAGACATGGACACTTTTTTTTACCAACAAACGTTTGAGGTGATTTATTGGAAGAAATAAACTCAACATCTTGAATGGAAAAAGAATAAGGTAGTTGATAGAGACCATGCATGCTAGGTCCTCATAGAAGCTCCGTCACCGTAGGATCCTTCACAACAAAATGAGAAAGGTGAAATTCAAAAAGCACATTGTTATCATGAGTAAACTGAGAAATGGACAGTAAATTTTTAGAGAGGGAACATGGAGAATATTGTGTAAATGAAAAGTGGAGTTATTATGAGAGAAGCACAAAGAACCAATATGTTGAATACTCAAACATGTACCATCTCCTACACGAACTTGGTCAGTACCAAAGTAGTCTGAGTGTTGCTGAAGGTTGTTGATGTTGGGAGTCTTGTGATTTGTCGCACTAGAGTCAGGATGCCATGTGAGATCATTAGGTGAAGAAGAAGTGGAGGCCTGGTAGGATTGCATGGGAACAGATGCATCAATTTCACCAATATAAGAGATATCAAAATGGCATCGACAGGTCTGAACGACATGTCTAGGCTTCAAGCATAACTGACAAATAATCTTTGGTGTATTACCATTAGAAGGATTAGAAGAATGAGATCTAGAACGACCACCCCTGCCACCGTGATAATCACAACCACCTCGAGAATTGTATCCACCACATGACTAGAAGGTTTGATTCTGATTTGGACGATGTTATTGTGGTCGAAAGGTGACCATATTAGTTGAGAGTAATGGACTAGATGAATCAGTGAAGTGATTCTGCTTCAACCAGATTTCATGACTTATCATAAGTCCATGGAGATATCAACAGAGAGTTCATCGGCATTCATGCGAGTTGTAATAGATGTCATGACGATTCATATTCCGGCCCTAGGCCAGCAAGGAGATAAAGTAAGAGATCTTGTTCTGCTACCAATTCAAAAATAGTAGCCTGACATTTAGCCAAGGATCTGGCATTTTGAACATACTCATTTACCGATTGAGCACCTTTCTTTATAGTTTGTTGTTGACGTCGAAGTTGTAAAATATGAGCCCGAGAAGGAGAACCATACGAATAGGCCAGGGATTTGTAGGTAAATCAACTACTTGTGCAATAACATTTTCATTAAAAAAGGAGATAAGCCAACTTAGA